GAGGGGACGGTCCCAGGGGTCTCCCCCAGCCCCAGGGACACTCGGAGGGTCCCGATCACCCACGGGGGGACCCAGGCGGGTGTCGGGGTGCCCGCGCCCCGCGCCCCTCACCCCGGGGGTCTCCGCGGCGCTGCCGCTGCCGCAGCGGCTGCCGGAACTGCGCCGCCCCCAGCACCACGTTCCGCAGCTTGGCCCAGCGCAGCCGCCCGCCCTGCGTCCCCGCCGGCCACTTGCTCTCCAGCACCGCCTGCCAGGGGCACGCAGGGGGGGTCAGGAGCAGCCAGGGGACCCCCCGGACCACCCCCCACCCCGCCAGGGGCGTCCCCTCGGGGTCACCTTGTTGTAGTAGCCGTAGGTGACGGTGTTGGGGACGATGCCGGCGCGCTTCATCTCCAGCAGCACGCGCACGGACAGCACGGGCTCGCCGTACTGCCCGCACAGCTGCATCAGGATGCGGTAGCACACCTGGGGGGGGGCACCTGCACCTCAGCCCGGGCCCCCCCGGCCTCGGAGCCCGCAGTCGGCCGGGGGGCAGCGAGCCCCAGGACCACCAAGCCCCACCTGCTCAGCCAGAGCAGCACCCAGGCCTTCCTCGGACACCTCCAGGGGTGGCCACTCCAACCCTCCCGGGCAGCCTCTTCCAGGAGGAATTTCCCCAAATATCCACCCCGAGGCTCCTCTGGCACAGCCTGAGGTCGTTCCCTCTCCTCTGTTCCCTGGAGCAGAGCCTGACCCTGCTGCTGTCCCCTCCTGCCAGGAGCTGTGCAGAGCCCCAGGGTCCCCCCTGAGCCTCCTTTTCTCCAGGCTGAGCCCCCTCAGCTGCCTCAGGAGTTCTCCATTCCCTTCTCCTGCTGCTCCAGCCCTTTCCCCTTCTCTGGACGTGCTCCAGCCCCTCCCTGTCCCCCTGCCCTGAGCACAGCCCGGCCGTTCCCTGCCCGCCCCCATGCCCGGGGACTCCGGCACCCCCACCCCAGCAGCAGATCCCCCCTCGCACGGCGATCTGGAGCCCACCTCGTCGGGCAGCACCACCTTGTGCTGCTCCATCTTGCGCAGGACGTCGTAGGCCAGCTGGAGCGCGCGGAGCTTGGCGGGGGCGGCGCGCACGTGGGCGGGCAGGTACAGGAACCAGAGGCCGTAGCAGTGCCCCAGCAGGCAGCGCGCCCACAGCTCCGGCACCGCCGACGACTTCTGGGCCACCCGCTGGGCCACCTTCATCTCCTGGGGACCAGGGGGCACGGGGATGGGGGCTGAGCCCCTCAGCGCCGCGCCCAGGTGGGCACCTGGCCGGGTGGCACAGCTCACGGGGACACCTGTGAGCGTTGTCCCACCTGGGCACCTGGCCGGGTGGCACAGCTCATGGGGACACC